TGGCTCCTGAGTCAAAGACCCAAACAGTTCGAGATATACCTAAAGGACTTGAAGTGAATGAACCTGTGAAAGAAGAAATTGATAGGGCACCTAGTTGATGAAAGGAAATAAACTTTTGCAACTAATCAGTTATCATAGTTATGCTGGGAGCTGATCCACGGGTGAAGCAATTGTTGTTGTATGACGATTTTTGGGCTTAAATAGCTTATGTAAGGCCCATTTGACATTCTTGTTCACCAATTTAGGATATTAAGCCTCCCAATGACCCTTCTAATGACAAAAATTACACTCATCTGAAATAGCTCAACCCTAATATTTAGTTGGTGAATCAAAAATCACTCTGGGTGATATAACCAATACAGTCTGATTAGACAATGAAAAAAGACCCTTCTCAGAAAGAATCTTAAGACGGACTTCTTCAAACAAAAACTCATTCACTACTACATCATTTGTGGGAGTGGGAGACGATGGAGAATAGAACCATGAAGTCCCTCAAATTCATCTCTAAGGACCATCAAAAAAATTGCACCAACCGCTACTCCGTAAAAGTACGATATACCATATAAGCACTCAGTTCAACAAGTACTAACTGATCCCAAAATTCAGTCATAACTGAGTAAAACTCCTATATGGTCTTATCACCCTGACGTGCAACATGAATTTTTTATTCAAGCTGATATCTCTTTGCAAAATTAGACTAAACAAATAATATAGCTAAATAATCCCAAATTTTCTTGGTTGTGTTAAACTAAGTCAACTGCATACCAATGGTCTGATCAACTAAATTGTTAATCTAAGTGATGATTTTAGCATTACTGATTTCTTGGGTATTCTTTAAGTTGGCATATTTCTCCGCCTTCGAATATGTTGAAACTTGCAAAGTACCGCTAACATAACTTTACATCTCATTCCCCAATAAAAAATTCTTCATAACATAAGACTAATATACTTTATTTTTACCATTTAATCTAACACTAATAACCTGAAGAGAATTAGAATATCCACTTACCATAATGTTGACAAAATAGTCAACGCTCACAACAAATTAACATCCAAAAGAAAGCAAAAAATAGCAATAAAAAATAGATTTTCAACAACAATCCACAACCTAGGGGCAAAACAAATTCTCTGTTTAACCCAATGATAAAGACAAAGAAACTAACAACCCAACAAATCAACCAATAGCCGATGCACAAGAGAACAACCCAGTATACAGAATAACAAGGCAGTCAGTGCTACGGAAGAAAAAAATCAACCCAGCCGATACATAGGGGAGCACAAATCCAACCACAGAACAAGAAGAAGGTGGTCAGTGTTGTGGAAGGCAAAAACCAACTCGCCAATGCACTGTAGAGGCGAGAAACAACCCACCAATGCACAATGGAGGTAAGAAACAACCCAACTGACACACAGGGGAGCACAAATCCAACCCAAATCACTTCTTTATTTTTTGAGTCAATCAACAGATTATCAACAAGGCTCAGTCGTATCTTTTAGACTAGATTAGGACCAAGAATTTCACAAAATACAACCAAATTTCTTGATCAAAAAATAATTGACAATTTTTTTCAAAAATCATATCACCTACTAGCTGCAATTGAAAACAAAACACACTATTGAGAAGCCCATTCCGAACTAGATGGTGGTCTTCTCCGTCTCCAACTGATGACATCATCATTGTCGATGATGACGTCAATCGTTGTTTATCGTCGGTAGCCTTCTTCTGGACTTCAATCATGTATTATTTTTTGGGTTTAGGAATTGTAACAAGCTCTGATACCATGTTAATATATATCAATAATAGAGGAAATAAAAGAAAGAAATATTCATTAATAATAACCAAATATGTATTACAGACACGTTAAAGAGGAAAACTAGTATATAAGAGTCTTATATACTAAGGCAAAACATAGTAACATAAATGACTAATCTACCCCTACTGCTAATATGCTAATATACTAGATTACTCTAACATTTTCTTCTCCATCAACATCTTAAAAATGATAGGTACAACTAGGCCGTGAACATGTTACTATTTGTACTACATTTTCTTCCTCAATCTCATCTACTACCTTATCCATGAGGGAGAAAATATAATCAACAATTTTTGATACATTAGTGGTATCGACCAAAGTATGGTACATCATGTTTTGATTACAATAGATCATAAAATTTAAAATGAACTTTTTAGTCCGGGAACTCCACCCATGACACGTGACATGTCATGAGGCCATTTTAACTTCATTGAGGAGATATATACCTCAAGTTCTTGAACTTCCTTCTCAAAATACAAGTTACCAATCTAGTATCTTGTAGGGCCCTTAATTTTTGGTCTTGCCTCAGTAATAATGTTAATGATGGATTAATGGTAAGGCTCACTATCAACTGCATTGAATGCTAATGCGTTGAAGTGGAAGAACTTTGAAATGACTTTTCCCACTTTTTCATGTTCTCAACTGAGAATATACTCTTATTTGATTTTTGTTTAGAAGGAAACATATAAGGATCGATGCCACTTATAGGCACCTTGGCTCCTTTTACACTATAGGTACATATATATGTTAAAATATCCCCAATATGGTTGCACAATATTGTGTGATGGGTGGAGTTCTAAAATTAAAAAGCCTATTACTAATTTTATAATTTATTGTGACCGAAACATGATCTATCATACTTTGATCAATACCACCAACATATCAAAAATTACTAACTATATTTTATCACTTCTGGATATAATAGTGGATGAAGTTGGGGAAAAAAAGCTCGCAAGATGTTAGTGGAGAAAAGAAAACATTTATTTGGGTCTCTTTGTGCAACCAATTCCATTGAATTGATGCTAAAAGATATTGACAATATGAAATCAATTAAGAAGACATTTAATGATGCAAGGGTCACCACATCATTTATCTATAATAGTCCCAAAGTGGTGACATACGAGACAAATATTTGTTTAGATCAAGTACAACATAGTTTGCCAACTAATTCATTATCATTAAAAGCTTTATCTGTTATGAAACTGCTTTGAAACAATATGTGCACAACAAATAACTGGCATAATTTCAACAAAAACAAGAGAAGAATTGTAACAGATAAGGTCTCAAAGCTTATTTTTACCAACCCATTTTGAAAAAAAAGCCAAAGAGTGCAATCCATAATGGAGCCTCACGCTAGGGTATTAATGATAGTTGATCAAAACCAGAAACCTACTTTATAAATCGTGTATAAAGCAATGGTTAGGGCAAAACTAGCTATATGGCATGTAGTCAAAAGTTGAAAAAAAAATTGGGAAGTAATTAACAATATCAATCTTCTATTAGTAGTGGCTATAAATATATTAGGGTTTTGGTCATTATCAACATAGGGTCGAGCTAGCACAACCGTTGTAGTCCCCTTACTCTAATTATAGATCATCTAGTCAATCATCTCAACCAACACAACTAGAAGAGCATTCATATTTCTATCTATATTCTTGAAGTGAGAATTACTTACTGAACTTGTATAAATATATTAGAGACAACAATAATAATTTCGAACCTCATAACCAACCAATGTGGCAATAATTTTGAGTCAATGTGACATTAAATGCTTACATTAAACATAGATAATGACAAATATTTCCAATAACGCTCTTATTATTCTATTTTACAATGATTAATGTGTTGAATAATGCATTTTGGGGATATGATGTATGGATGATGTTATTTACATTTATTACAATTTTTCATGATTTTTCAAATTGTTTTGAGACTTCTATATGGTATTTTTAGCATATCGTCTGCTAATGCACCGCAACACCCACCGATGTGTCCCAGTGACCCTCAAATCAATAACTGATACCACAACCTTAAATCATGCTCTAATGTAAGGATTAGTTGCATAACTGTAACTTAAGACTACCATTGACATGCATGTAAAAGTCCATATGAAGGTCTTATGTTAGTCACTTGCACGTTTAGTGTGCTTATTCCATAACATGCACCCATAGACATGATTTATCTACACACTAGTGACTTGAAGCCAGCCACCTCGCATCAAATACAAGAAAGCGTAGACCATGCTAGTCTATCCGAATTACAAGTGCCTAAATAGTAATCCTACAATTATGAACCTTTAGAAGTTAGATATTAAGAAGTACAAGTGTTTTTTTACCCTATATACATTGAGAAACTATGTTATTAACTTAAACTCCATGGTGGGATGAGAAAAAAGAGTAACATGATAAATAAATCGGCCCTTACATTTATTTAATTAAACGATAGATGTTGGTACTGTCACAATGTCATCTGTACAATTGGTCTTAGGGCTTGCTCAAAGTCTGTTCCACAATCTTGGCTCTCTAGCCCCCAAATCATGTTTCCTATTGATCTTGTAAACTGATTCGAGTCTCGTACTCAGTACAAATCACAAAAACATCCTTGGACCCAAGTTAGGCAAACTCGAGTTAGCTCACGACATATACAAACCAAGTCCCACAAACTGCATTCTTGTCACTTATTGAATCTCATTTTTTACCCGGTTATCCAGGAGTAATCTGAATTCTATAAACCAATTTCCACCTTTCCAATATGGTAACCAAACACGTCCAAAGAGTCAACTTCAGAAAACCATGCAATGCAACACCATATCGTATACTACCAACCAATTTCTATATAATCCAAGTAGTACTTAATTTAACACAGAAAAGCAACATTTATAAAAAAAGATAGATTGTACCGACATTCCTTGCCTTATAAAAGTATGCAGAGTTACCATATTTCATAGATGACATACAAAGATCCTGAGCAGTGTATGTGATATTGAAACCACTTCATAGAGTTTCTGTTTTTTCCCTGTTAAACTTTGTAAAAATTTGGGTCAATCAAATAAGGGGAAACATTAATTTTGTAAATTATTTTTGTACTTACAGTTCTAGTGTATCATTTCTAAAAAATACGCCTTGTATTTTTTTTTTTTTTTGGGGGTGGTGGGGTTTGGAGAGAGATAGAGAGAGGAGGAGAAAGCTACCAATGCTCAATCACAATGGTCTTGGTACCATCCACAACCTTAGCCGGTGGTGCTTTCACATTATCGGTTTCCGTGCCCTCCTCTTTGTTGTTGGAACTGGTTTTCGCCTTCTTCTGCTGCTTCACCTTGGTCGGTGGGACGGAATTCTCCTTCTTGATCTCGTTCGCTTGGCTAGTCGAGCTACGAGTCACCCTGGACGACGTCGTACTTTGCTTCACATCACCTTCATTAGTTCTGCGTCTCTTAGGCGCCATTGCAGAGACAGAGAGAGAACTTACTACTGCTTCTACTGATAAAACTTTGCTCTCTCTTAGCGTTCTCTGGGATGAAATAGATGTGACAATACTTGAAGTACCTTTGCTCAGCTTTTTATCTGTGACTCTTGGGTTGGCTGTCTAGGTCGGATCACACGTTTTCCCGCTCTTTTTAACGGTTAGGATTGAATGTTGAGGGCTGGTGTTTACACGACGATCTTGGCCGTTCAAAATTGATAGTGGTGATTACGTTGTCATGTGCGATTTGAATCATGAAAATTTTGGAATGTTTGAATTTCATCAGATGTCTGATGATCTGACCAAAAAATAAAATTCACCAGATGAGAGGTGAGAAATGTTATGGGAAAAACAATCTTGAGATCTAAGACTTAATTAAATCCTCATAAACTTTTGATGAACTACCATTTCTCTTCTGTTTATGAAGTATGACTAACTTAGACAGTTTGATAAAAAAAGTTGAGATTAATTTTGCATATCTATATAATAAAATATATAGAAAATTGAATTTTATCTCTTATATATTTTTTTCTCAAAATTATCACATTATTTATTTTTATCACATATTTAATTATTTAATATTTAATTAATTTATAATTTAACATAATTTTTATTTCAAATATTATTCGTACACGATAGTATACATATGTTAAAAAAATAAAAATTATTATTTACTATAGTGAGATCAATTATTGTTGCTTAAATTTTATATTTTATCATGTCTTTAAACACGAATTATTAATAATACATATGTATTAGTTCTCGTTTATCATAAAGAGACTAGGAAAAAAAATAAGAGCTAATGCCTACCGACTAAAGGCAGAGGCCCGGACACAATGACAGGTTGAGGGTTTTGTGCTAAGGAAAAAATGATTTAAGCAATTGTGAGATTATCTATAGAGAGAAGTTGAAATTAAAAAGTGTTTGAAAGCTCTTTATGGCCAAAAAGTAGTAATTTTATAGTGTACTTATAGGTTTCTTGATTGGTAAATTTTCTAGCTAGATAAAACTTAGAAAAAAAATTGACTTTTTAGTTCGGGTGGTAGACCAATACAAACCATCCAACTTTTTTGGTTGAGCAAGAGAGTAAATTGAATGTAGAAGAAATTGGAAGTGGGTACACTAAATTGGAGTTAATCGTAAAAAAATACACAAAAAAAAAATGTAGGGTAAAAAAGTTCTCTATTTTGATACTTATTTACTTCTAAATACATTATTTAGAATTTTCATATTTTCTTCTGACAATTATATCCTCCCTTAATCAATGCGTTTTTTTTTTTTTGGGAAAGTGGTATTAAATATCTCCTAGGTTTATGAGAGAATTTTAATATTTCATATTTTTTTATCTTCCTTTGATTTATGCCTATTTTTTTTTTGAATGTGGTTTTGTTTTCAAATTATATTTAATACACCTTGATTTTTGCGTTTTTTTTTTTTTTGCAAAGTGATTTTGTTTGCAAATTATATTAATATCTGAATTTTATAACAGTATAACAAAGCATTTACACAAAATATTATACTATTATATTTTGTCAAACATATATTTTCATATAATTCCATTCAAAACAGTTTATCTATGTTTTGAATTTGTTATCACATGCACAAAATCACTTAACACTATTTTTGTTACAATCTATTATTACACTGTCTTTTGTTACAGTGTATTGTTACACTATTGTTTAATGAATTTGTTACGTTTTTGTTACAGTGTAAATAATTTTATATTTCAAATTATATAAAAAAATAATTAATAAATTTTAAAATTCAAACAAAGTGATATATCCTAAAATAAATGGAATATTAAAGTTCTCCCATAAAATTAGGAGATATTTAATACATAAATATAATTTAAAAACAAAATCACTTTTCAAAAAAAAATATGCATGAAGTAAGGTGCATTAGAGATTTCAAATTAAATGACCCTAAATTTCAGTTTTTAAAATAAATGTCTTGTTACAATTTTTAGAAAAAAAATTTTTATAAAAATGGGCATTTACATCTTTATATAATAAATACCCTAGATGTAGCAGTAAGTAATGTCCTGGAATTAAGCCTACAAAAACTATTCGTAAAATATATTCTAACACCCCCCCCCCCCCCCAATTGAAGATGCGTCAAGTTGTATCATATGGAGTTTGCACACAAGATAACACAATCAAACAGTGGGATGAGACTTGGTGAAAAGATCAACAATCTACAACTCTAAAGCTACATGAGAAATGAAACAAAGCCTTCACACACTCGATGACCAAGAAAGTGATAGCAATTTCAATGTATGATTGTTCGCTCATGAAAAACTTCATTGCAAGCTATCTTTATAGCACTTTTTTTTTATCACATAAAATAGTATTGGGATGTTGGACCATGATGCCCAAATCTTGAAGTAACCAACACAACCATATTATTTCTGATGTAGCATCTGCAAGAGCCCTGTATTTTGCCTTCACACTTGAACAAGTAACGACTGATTGTTTTTTATACTTCTAGGAGGTCAAAGAATCACCTAGAAAAATGTAAAAATTGGTGATAGATCGGCGATTGGTGAGATCACCTACCCAATTAGAATTACAATAACCTACAAGTTAAAGTTTAGAAATGGAAGAAAAAAATAGTCCCTGATATAACAATGATATAATGTTTCAATTTTAGAAGTGCAGCAAAGTGAACTAAGCAAGGCGCATACATAAATTGACTAACAACATGAATGGCATGACTAATACCTGGCCTAGTAATAGTCAAGTAAATAAGGCTCCCAACAAGTTGTCTATAAAAGAGTATCATCTGAAAAAAGCCCCCCTGTTTGTTGTTCTCATCTTGATATTTAACTCTAAATGAGTATCAATTGTCTTGGTATCCATTAAACTTGATCTAGAAATAAGATTATAAGCATATATTGACCAGAAAACAAAGTATAACCATGAGGGGAAGAATTCACTTCAATGCTACAGAAATATCTTAAAGAGCCAAGATCCTTCATTTCAAAATATTTGCTAAAATGATTCTTGATATCATTAATACCTACAATATCATCTCCGGTGATGATCATGTCATTAACATAAAGAAGTAATATGACATAACCTTTACTTGTTTTGCAAATAAAAATTGTTGAATCATGAGGACTTTATCAAAAACCAAAGCAAAAGACCACAAAACTAAACTTTTCAGACCAAGCACGTGGTGCTGCTTAAGACCATACAAAGCGTTGCATAATTTACAAACTTATTGAGACTAACGATGCAACCCCGGATTATTGCATATTATGTATGCCTTTTATACTTGTTTTTGTTGTGAAATTGGGAAGAAATGCGACGAATCAAACAATTAATGATGTTAATGTGTGATTGTAGGTAATGAGTTGAATATGGCTTGAGTTAAGCTCCCATCGTAATGCTTAAAGTCAATGGAGATGAGGAGGTGGCTTAACAGAAGGCTTGGAAGGTGAAGAAATCAAGAAAAAGCAAGTTGGAAGAAAACCTTGCGGAAGGTTTGCATTAATCTTCTGGAAGGTTTAGCCCTCTAGAATTGGTTCTACCTCAAAACCTTCCAGAAGGTTTTCATCGACCTTACCAAAGGTTTGAGACACTGGATTGTTGTCTACCCTGTTCCTGCATAAACCTTCCGGAAGGTTTACATTGACCTTCCAGAAAGTTTTGCCTAGAAATGTTAGCCAACCTGCAACTTAAGCTCTGCCACTTGGGAGTCCCACTTATGATTCTCCCACTTATCCCCTAACATCTATTACACACATACATGCCTCCCTACACTGAAGGTTGGACTTTGGAGGGCCAAACATTTATGAGGAAGAGAAAGAAGAAGGAAGCCTAGGGAGTGCAGGTTAGACTTATTCTAGTCTGTCCATGCCATCAACTCAGCCCCCAATGATGGGAAGCCTCTCACATAGGCTATAGCACCTCTATGGACGAAAATGAGGACATCACTTGACATTGTTGGAGCATTCTTCAACATTATAGAAAGATAAGCTCAGGAGGAAGACAAATTTTTAGAGAGAAAAGTTAGATTTTTGCATTCCCTTTACCCATTCCACTTGTAATCTGCTTTAAGACTCTTGCAAGCTTCATTTATTGCACTTAGTGTCATTTATTTCAAGAGTATTGCAAGCTTTGTTAAGTATCTTGGAATCTACCATTGTTATATTCAAGTTTTCACTTCAAGCTTTTAAGTTGGGTATTAAATGCACTCATTTTTGTAGTTTCACTTTTCTTTACATTAACACAAATTTTAATCTCCATTCCAACACCGTGTCTCCTTACATATTGTATGCCTTTGCATTTAATATGAGTAGCTAAGCTTTAAGTTGGCTAATCCAAGGGAGAACTCCTCTTGGGCATGCTAAATCAACTCCTTTTCATTCTTCCTTGTAGTGTAAGGTAGTTTGGTTTGACTAGGCTGAGTGCAAACATGGTAGTGAGCTTTTGATACACCATAGATTTGTCATAGGGTATGCTTGAGCCTACATCACATTAGTCCTTCCTGTCCTACGAATCAATCGAACACCTAGACACCATTAGAAGAATGTTGTGAGTTAATTTGGCATTCTCATTGGAATGACCTCTTCGAATTAGACAACCCTTTTTCCATTACATTTTCTATCACAAACTTCACTCACCAAAACACAAACTCAAAAGATTTTACACTTTTCCATTTTTACAAAATCACCTTCAACACGATTCAACCTTCCTTTTCAGAGGAGACGACCTTGGAATACTCATTCCAAGTAAAACACGACACTTGAAAGTCTCTCTTCACTTGGAGAACACTTTTGCACACACACATTTTGTTCACCCACACACATTTTTTCCATTTCTTGCATGATATCCGAGGGAAAGTGACACTCACTTATCCGTATAAGTCATATACACATTATCAGAATCATGGTTGGAAATTAGGGTTGACAAAATAAATCAAGTATTTTTGGCGTCGTTGTCGGGGAAGGCAGAGCGTTGAATTAAGAAGGTGATTTTCAGACAATCGAGGTAAGTCTCGTGAATTTCATCATGAGCCAAGGTATGTTGCTCCTTGCACATATTTTTG